TTTACAATCCAGCAGCCCTTAGTCCTTGTAGCCAATGAGGCTTTGGCCTGAGGAAGGACTGCAGGGTAGGGGCTCAGACACCCAAGTGCAAGTTGCTGGGGAATGACGCTTCTGGGACAAGCACTAGCCAACACTAAAGACACAGAGCTGATTTACCAGCTGCTTCCAATCGCACCGTACAGAGAACAGTTCCACATTATCCATCAACGTCTCGGGATGCAACCGTCCACAAATGACGTCTGCATGGCGGAGGCACGGTAGCTGCCACACTGGCATGTCATTATGCCGGCTACGTGCCGGGAGGCACAATTGCCAAGGAAAGGCACAGGAGAGGAGCCCCTTTACTGTCTCGCTATCGAGCCAGCAGATGGGTGAGCAACGGGATATTTGAAATGGGGAAAAACTGATCAGTGACTGTGACCATTGACTTTACCAACCCTGCCAATGAAGACCAGGCACACCCCATGACTTCACTACACCCTATGTAGTTAGCATGCCATTAAACACACGGACTGCCATGTCGGCACAGAACGCTGCTCTGCCTAGCCCAGTACCCTGTTTCTGACATTAATAAACCTACACCTAACACTTCCGAGGAGGAGGGGACTTCCCAGCCCTTGGCCTGCCCCAAACACCCCTGTCCACTTGTGCAATGCCACCCTAGGGCAGGGGGGAAGTGGATTTCTTCCAGACCCCAGTGGGGGAGTCGGCTTATTTCCCAAAGTAGCCCTTTGTTTGTGAAGATCCCCACGGTGGAGCCGTCCAAAGCTCTCAGAGCTGCAGAGTGCATGGCGAAGGGCATGCCATGATGTGGTTAGCAAATGATCCTGTAAACCATGGGAAAAAGAGAGGTAAAGAAAAAGGCCTTCCCAGACGAGGAAGGGAATACGGTTAAACCTGGAGTTGCTTTCCCCTCTGAGTATCAGGCCACTGACGCAGCTGCCTAAAGCCGTGAGTAAAGCTAAGTCTGCGTGTAAGGCCTGGTCTACACTAGGGGTGGGGGATTGATCTAAGCTACGCAACTTCAGCTATGAGAATAGCGTAGCTGAAGTCGACGTATCTTAGGCTAGGTCTACACTACCCGCCTGAATCGGCGGGTAGAAATCGATCTCTCGGGGATCGAATTATCGCGTCTCGTTGGGACGCGACAATCGATCCCCGAATCGACGCGCTTACTCCACCAGCGGAGGTGGGAGTAAGCGCCGTCGATGGGGAGCCACAGAGGTCGATTTTGCCACCGTCCTCACAGCAGGGTAAGTTGGCTCTGATACGTCGAATTCAGCTACGCTACTCGCGTAGCTGAATTTGTGTATCTTAAATCGACCCCCCCACCCCCCGTAGTGAATACCTGCCCTTAGATCGACTTAGAATCACTTACTTCGCGTCCTCGCGGCGCGGGATCGACGGCCGCGGCTCCCCCGTCAACTTTGCTTCCGCTGCTCCCCGAGCTGGAGTTCAGCAGTCGACGGGAGAGCAATCGGGGATCGATTGATTGCGTCTGCACTACACGCGATAAATCGATCCCCGACAGATCGATTGCTACCCGCTGATCCGGCGGGGAGTGTAGACGTACCCTGAGTCTTTGCAAGATCAGGGCCTAACTCTGGATTTAGCAGCCTAGACCTTAGGTATCCTATTTTTGGCCTAAATGTTCAGAGCCAAGGAACAGCTCGTCAGCGCTTGTTTTCCCTGCCCTTGCAAATTCAGTTCAGCAGTTCACATCCAAACTGCAATGGGATCTCTTCGCAGGTTTAGGGCACTCAGCTTCGGGGTTCCAAACTAGGCCCCCCTCTAACAATGGAACGGCAGAGTCGTCCTGCCATGTCCCATTCTCTGCCTGTCTCTCTGCCTCTGCAGCAGGGAGTCCCTCAGGCTAACTACACAAACCGTTAGAAAAAAAGAGTGGTCTCTCTTTGAAGTATTTGTACCATGCAACTCAGCACATGATCAGTAATGTTCCTTAGCTACTGGCTAAAATGCTTTTCGACTTCAAAGCACTGCAGGCATTACTGGAGCTGAGCAGAAGTTATATAAACGGTGTGGCTTACGTTTCATTTTCTATGCCCAAAAGATTGGCTCGTTTTGGGGTGTGTGCGTGCACACATGTGGTTTTTTTATTAAAGGATTGCCACAGAACACGAAGGCACAAGTCCGAAGAAGGACTCGAGCCCATGACCTGTTCGTTTTCTAGGTGGGGGAAGATGGCACAGCGAAGTAACAAATTCAAACCACATTACACGGCCATGATTCACAAAAGCCAAGTGAGGGGTGGAAGGGATGTGTGTCACACACAGATGAACCACACGCCACTGCACCGTGATCCACAAGCAGAAAATACTATAAAAAAAGTCTGGCTTTTCAAAACCAGTAAATAACATTTTCAAAGAATTTTCGGCTCCCCTCCTCCCCCCACTCCACCCAACCCAGGAAAGAAATTTGCCACAGAACATACCTAACTCTCCCGATGTCAGATGGGCAGGCTTCCCATGTGCTATTGGAAACAGCTTGAATAGTATTGGAGGCAGAAAAATAATTGTGCTAGCAGCAAGAATCTTCAGTCTTCAGACGTGACTCTCAGATATGATCGTCTTTAAGCATAGAGTATAAACATGCTGAGTATATAATTTTCCTTTAAAGTCTTTTTTGTTTTGTTTACAGAAATAAATACTTACTTTGCTTCTTTTAAGATCATTCCATAGTCTCTGCACAATGTCAGAAGGTGACATCTCAGTTTACAGGACTTGTAGCCACTAGTCTGACTTATGTTAAAAGGTAGCAAAATGTGGCTTTTCGGAGGCTGTGTTGTTTTCCTTTCCCCTGTATTGTAGCTTCTCTCTTTTTGCTGGTTGTGGCATCTTTCCCCCCCCTCTGTCTGTGGATTTGCTTAAAAGTCCTCGCTCATTTCCCCATATTCCTTCCCATGCAGCGAGGGCAGTAAAACTACAGAATTCAACAATAGGGTCAATTGTTATTTTTCAAGAGGTCCAAGGTGACTACAAATCCCAGCATGCAATGGTTCCCACTTGATGCGGCTAAGGGGCAGGATGGTGCACTGCATGCTGGGACTGGTAATCTCCTCTTATCGCCTCTCTGGCTCCATTTTATGCACATTATGTGCAACTCCCATACACCTGGAAAGCTACCATCAGCTTGCGAAGTTTGGGTGTCCCTGATCTAGAGTTGCGTGTTACAAAAACAAACCCTAACTAACTCACCCTGCTTTCAGAGGAGACAAATTAAATCCAGCAGTGGACTCGAGCCCCCTAACGACGGGATCTGGATTTCAAACACCCTTAGTTAATGGGCGCTTCGATCGGGGAGTTCGGTTCAGCCCGTGACGAAGGGAGAGCCTCTTTGCAAAATTCAGAGCTGGATTTTGAAAGCCTGCCCCTGAAGCGCAGGGGGTTTGTGTCAGAGTTACCAAGGGCGAGGTGGTTTGGGTTGGTCTTGGATTAACTCCTACATTCCTCCCTCCCCACACAATTTTCTTCAGACTTGGGAACTTCTGAGATTGGTGCTCTCATGACACATCAGCGTGTAGGAGGCTGTCCTGGATCCCACCCACTGCAAGAGGGCCAGCTTGTCCTGCTGGTTCAGAAGGCCTCCGACCATCGCTTCGTTCCTATGAAGGGGAACCAGAGAAGGTGCCACACCTATTGGTCACCTGACGAAGGGCAGATGGAGGAGGAAGGTGCCTCTGATGTTTGGAACCGCCACCGCACCCCCGTCATCCTGAAAGAGACCCAACTTCAGGCGAGTCACACCGTGTGGCTGATGGCTTCTTGATACTGGCAGCCCAGAGTGGACGACGAGTGCCACCTCCACCACCCAGATCAGCTAGGTTTCTCTGCCTCTGGCAGGCAGGACAGGAGAAGAGCACTGGGGGCACGGCACAGTGCTTTCACCACTGGCTAGCACACCCTCTCTCGCTGGGGCAAGGAAGCACGCTTCTTGATCACTGCTCAAGCGTTGATTGCAGTTGAGGGGGGGTTGTTGCTTTTTAAAGATCAGAGCTGTTGCATCGCCCCGGTGATGGCAGCGCTCCTACGGGCGTCACCCTGAGGCATGGAAACCTGTTGGCTGCTTCTCTCTGGAGGTGGAGGGTAAAGAGACATAGACCCTCAAGAAGCCATTTCCTTTGGAAGGAGCGAGTTCTCCTGTCCGGTAATAAGATCAACTTTTGCAAAAAGAACAAGTTTAGTACAAACTAGTGCCCATGTGTAACGACTACATCATGGGTTGCCATCACTGATCAAGGCAGGGGGCTTTGTTACCTACAGAACTGTAGATCTTTGGAGATCGGAATTTCAGCCACTTAAAGCTGGTTGGGGAGAGACGCGCCATGGCAGACGTCTGTCTGTATTCCGAACAGCAACGCTGACTCTTCTCCCAGGCACTAGTCCATCTCTGTGCCAACTGCGGGCAATTTACCCCAGAATGAGCTGCCTTGTGGAAGATGGAGGCCTTCCCCTGGGGACGAGCCAGGGAATGCTTGTGGTGCTTGTGACGGCACAGCTGATGCCCCAGGATTCCCCTGATGAGATGGTTTATTGCCTTTGCAGGAAGGGAATTTGGCTTCCTCACTGGGTGAAGAGGAGACGAGGCTGGATTGGTGTCCTAGGCGGAGGAGTTAGCTCCGTGTCGCCAGCTAGCTTCCCAAAGCGCCCCAAGGGTCACGAGAAGGAGGAGCTTTGTATTTTGTGGCTGCGGTGGTTGTGCTGTTGCAGTTGCTGGCTTGAGGGAGGCACTTACCCACGTTGGGTAAATTTAAAAAAGAGTGTAAAATATACAGTAATGCTGGGCCTTGGTTCACCTGGTGGCACTGCCCCTGCCCCCCTAAAATGGAGCTCGGATGGGAGCTGGGATTCAGTTGAGCCACACATCAAGAAAGGCTGTGCAGGGAGCGCCGACCTCCCCAGCGCTGTTTACCGATCCCAACGGCGAGACCGTCAACATATGGCCGGCTCGGGGCCTGGCTTTATCTCAGTCTTCGACTCATCCATTCAGGTGGCAAGGAGGGGGAAGCTGTGCTTGGTTGGGTCACGTGCCGAGTCACTGAGATCCCCAGCTCCCGCTAAACGAAAGCGGGGCTCAAAGAAAGAAATGTCCCCAACGCAAAGCTCCTTGGCAACAGGGTGTCCGGCCTAGTTCCTCAGGCAGAAAGAGAGTGGCCGGGCCCTCTCCGGCAGGCCGAGAAGCTATCTTTGTAGCACCGTCACGTCCGCGATATGTTACATACCCTGCCCCAGTGAGGGAACGGGCCACTTCCAGTCACTAAGGCCTACACGAGTTGTGTGCGTTGGCTGGCTCTTCTGTGGCTCCGGGTTTCAAACAAAGGGCGGACGGTGGGTTTGGTTTCACTGTCTCTGTTGCTCAGGTGGACGGAGGAGGACACGTGTCGTCGTTCCCTGCAGGGCTAACAGCCTCCTTCCACCTTAATGTGTAAAATCTTTGAGAAGCCGGGTCTTTTCCTCAGGGCCTGGAAGAGAAGGGCGGGAGGGTTAAATGCACGGACAGCAGAGCGTAGGCATGCATTTGGCTAATACTAATGCAGAGCCAATTAATTGTATGGTGCTCTTCACCTGTAGCTCTCAAAGCACTACAAAGGAAGGGGAGTATCGGGCCAAATTCAGAGCGGGGGTAACTCCACTCACCCCAATGCAGCCGATACCAGCTCAGAATTTGGCCCCATGGACTTTACTATGTAAGAAATAGATTTTCAATGGAAAGAGAATGAACTTAGACCCAATTTTCCCTCTGCAGCGTGAAGGAACCTCATCCTACCCACAACCTCTTCCATTGCCCTGGGTGGCACTGATAAGGACTGGACCCAAGTTGTAGCATCTCCGTTGACTTCCCCGGTGGAATGTTCAGCGTGACCATTTGTTTGGAATTGTTACTCTTTGGTATTTGCCTCTGTAGCTCATTAGCACTAGAATGTAAATCTCCAGACTCCCCAAGGAGAAAGAGAGAATGAAAAAAGAACCTAGAGCGAGAAAGACAAAGAGAAAACTCCCCCGAGAACACAGCGCGGTA